TCGTATAATACGAAGCGATTGTCGAATTTATAAATACTGTAAAACCGCTTTGTTTAACGCCCATTCCGACACCAAAACCGCACCCGAATACGAATGTGTTAAATTATTAGTTTTTATTGATCCGCACTAAGTATTTTATTCCAGCGCCGAGTACTGGCTTCTCATACAATTACAAATTTAACTCGATTTTTCGTTTGGTTTTTTGGCTGGAACTCAACTCAGAGATGTTGCGTAATCACACAGGTTTCACTGGCCTTTATTGCCAACCAGATAGCAATCGTCATTAATTAATTTCCTATATGTATATATATGTAAATCCAATGTATATAGGTTATTAACTATGTTTTTAAATGCCTTTAAGGTGACGTACGATTAGCTAGTGTTGTTTAAATGTATAATATGTTGTACTAGTTTTTTTGCTCGTGGTTTCGCCCATGTGGACTACACTTTAATTGGATTGAATTCACCCTGGTGGTAGGACCTCTTGTAAGTCCGCGCGGGTGGGTACCACCACCCTGCCTATTTCTGCCGTGAAGCAGTAATGCGTTTCGGTTTGAAGGGTAGGGCAGCCGTTGTAACTATACTTGAGACCTTAGAACTTGTATATCTCAAGGTGGGTGGCGCATTTACGTTGTGGATGTCTATTGGCTCCAGTAACCACTTAAAACCAGGTGGGCTGTGAGCTCGTCCACCCATCTAAGCAATAAAAAAAAAAAAACCCTTTCATCGTGGAAGGCGGACTCCGAGAATATGAATGATTGATTAAACCAAGCTTAGGATTAAGATTTTGCATTCTATTAGAGGAAAAATTCGTTGTATTCAATGGCATAAACGCTATTGGAATGAAAATGGATTTGAGTAATTTTAAATTAAAAAATATTGCTTATAAGAGTGGACCAGCTCACGATGTACCTGGTGTTAAGTGGTCACTGGAGCCAATAAACATCTACAATGTAAATACCGCCCCCTTTTTTTTTTTTTTTTTTCTCGGGCCTTGGGCCGTACTTCCTATGAGGTCCCCGCGCCTAGGGGGCGCGCGGGGTATGTGAGACTCAACGATCTGCAGGTGTTGAGAGCAGATCGCGGGCCCAAGGATTTTAGGGCCCACCCACTAAACGACTCCCCTGCAGTCTTACACCCGACGTCCGATCTCCGTCCGGGGTCAGAACCCGTTCAGAGTAGGGGGGTTCCCGCGGTCAACACTACAACCAGACACGCGGCGCCACCCCGAGGACGCCCGACCGACGGGTCGTCGAGGCGATAGTCGACGACCAACGACGTCAGTCTCCGCGGTACGGCGGCCCTACCAGGCCGCCCGGGCGGTGCCGCTGGTGTTCCGGGATACCCCGCTGGGCCAGAACCAGCCTGCCGGGTCGGAACGCGATACACCGCCGACCGGGTTGCTCTTCAACAGTATGTTCGGCGACGACAGCGACGACGAAAATGCGGACCGCATCGCAGTCCGCAGCCGCCGACGCGCCGTCCCGTCCTCCTGGTGCCAGCGCGCTAGAGTGACGGTAGCGTGCGGCGCAGCCTCAACCCCCTTAGGTCGCCCCGTGACCATCACCGGGAGGAGACTGCCTCCTCATAGGGGCTGGAGCTGGACAAACGCCCTCCTCCGACCCCCGGCTCGACGGCGGCGGCACGGCGCCGAGAGGGAAGAAGAGCTCTCCCTCTCCCGTTCCGCCGCCTCCTTCTGCGAGATGGTGGACTCGCAGAAGTCGAGCATCGCCTGCCAGGACTCGTCGCTGCCGAGCATCGTAGCCACGACGGTCGGAAGCGACAAGTCCGGTCCTATTTTTGCAACGAGGACGCGGCGCTGCTCCGCGAAAGCGGTGCAGTACGCGAGCGTGTGCTCCGCCGTGTCCTCGTTGCAGCCACTGCAGTGGTGGCACTTCGGCGTCGGCTCCCTCCGGGCGACGAGGTGTAGGTAGCGACCGAAACAGCCGTGTCCCGTGAGCACCTGCGTCGCTCGGAAGGTGAGACGTCCTCGGTCGCGATTCACCCAGTCCGAGAGGACCGGGCGGATCGCCTCGACGGTCCGTCGCCCGTAGGCGGGGTCCGCCAGGCGGCGAGACCACGCCTCGAGCACGGCACGCCGAGATTGAAGCTTCCGCGCTCGAACTTCCGCCGCGCCAGGACGCGGCTCCCCCCTGGGGCGGAGATCGCATCGCCACGCGTAATCCGCAGCGAGTGCCTCCGCTTCCAGGTCCCAGGGAGGCGTCCCAGCTAGCACGCACGCCGCCTCGAACGAGACGGTGCGGTATCCACGAACCGCCCTGACCGCAATCGCGCGCTGCGGACGTCGCAACGCCGCAACGTTGTCTAGGGTCAGGGCGTGGCACCACACGGGAGCCCCGTACAGTGCCATCGACCGCACCACCCCCGTGTAGAGGCGGCGCACCACCACGTCAGGCCCCCCGACGTTCGGCAACAGCCGACTCAGCGAGCCGGCGACCGCAAATACCGCCCCCTACCTTAAGACATGGATTCTACGGTCTCAGTTTTTACAGTACAACATCTGCCCCAACTTTCAAAACGAAACGCATTACTGCCTACCTATGCGGGCTCATAAGATGTCCTACAACCAGTAATTACGCCAACTATAATATAATTTTGCGAGTTTGATTCTTAGAACACGATGTTATTCCTTCACCAGTATTAACTCAATCAGAAGTGCTCGTCAACTCAATAAGAAACTCTAAGCGTCTAATATAATATAAGATAAGACGCCCGAAGTAGCGTATCCGGTAATGCCATGCAGATTAATTATTTCCTAGAAAAAATACGCCTTTTTGGTCCCTGTTTGCACCCATTGAGGCTGCGTTTTGTGATTTATCCCATGGGTCTAGGAGTTAGGAAATAGGGTATAGATTAAGACGAGATTAGGTATCCCTGTTCCGTCGGGAGACGAGACCAGCAGCGACGTGCACCCAAGTCTTCTGATTAACATCTGAAGAGACCACTGATGATTAGAGAACGAGTTCCTCTTATAAGATATCCTTTATGTATATCAGTTATAAGCTGGAAACACCGGCTCGACTGTGGGTCTTGCCATAGCTGATGTCTATACGCGATGTTGATCATTCAAGATCATGAGCATAGTTTTAGCTAACTATGAGTTACAATGCTATTCTTTGCACCTTTTTTGTATTCCTTAGATGGTTGGACGAGCTCACAGCCCACCTGGTGATAAGTGGTTAATGGAGCCCATAGGCATCCACAACGGGTTTGATTTTTATTACACGATGTTATTCCTTCACAGTGGAAGTCAATCGTGAACATTTGTTGAGTACGTATTTCATTAGAAAAATCGGTACCCGCCTGCGGGATTCGAACACCGGCGCATCGCTCAACACGAATGCACCGGATGTCTTATCCTTTAGGCCACGATGACTTTAAACAACTATCAATATAACGGATAAAAAAGACTAATATTTTTGGAGTTTACTCCTTTAGAATCGATTTACATATATAGGCCCGGGGTATGAAAATTATGGGGACCAAAATCGTACTAGCATGTCACACGAAATGCGTTATGCGCCTGATTGCGCATGTCACACGAAATGCGTTATCGCAGGTGACGCCGGGCTGCTGCGCCGGCAGTCCGCCACAAAGCCTCGTACTGATCGCGCGTTTCTCTCATTATTGTATTTTCATATATTTGTTAGTCGTTTGTTTTGTGTCTCGTTAATTTGTTAATAATCTGTAGTGTATCGTGTTGTCGTAATATAGAACTATTTCTCGTATTGTTTCGTTTAATTTTTTATATCCAGTAAACTCCAGTCGTGCGTCGGAGCGGACACACACACTTTTTTTTTTTAATAAATCAATCGTACAGAGGGTTCATAAGTTCATTAAGCAGAACAAAAAACACAATAAAAAAAATTAAGCTATATTTTTTTTTAATTACACTTTGTGATTAATTTTGCAACTCGTGTTGTTTATTATAGTAAATTACATAATATTATAATTTTATTAATTAATTAAATTAAAATTTATACAATTAATAATTTTGTGAACGATAAAATAATTTACACAGATTTCAATTTAATTTAATTTGAATTATGAGAGCAGATACGGCGATATTTTATTCTCATTAAAGCTTATCAGATTATTTGTACGTTCAAGTAAAACTAGTGAATTACCAAGCTATTAAATTGTATTAATATACTTTGCTTAAAGCGCTCATTAAATACCCATAATTTATATAGCAAGATCTATTCAGGGTGTGTTCGATACGTTGGCATAGCCGATACGACAATAAGCCACTGGTCGGGTAAATTCAGAACAACATTTACAAAATTACGCATAAAGATTGGTGGTTTCTTCAATATCACAAAATGAGATATTTTTTTTAATTTAATTTGAATCTTTTACTTTGTACGGTAAGACTGCAAAAGTGCATGGATGGATAGTACAATCAAAGCATCGTATGAACCCACAATCAGCGCCATCTGTTATTATTATTGTATCACTAATTTGTGATCTTTTTTTTATATAAATATAAATATTTAAATGTTAATGTTTTCAATATGTTTATTTACATGTCAAATATTTATTTTGTGGTAATAGGTAAACGATGTCACAATTTAAAATGAAACATAAATAGACGTGGAGTGGAGTACTAACGCCACCTAGTTTATATTCAGATTATAGATTCCATTTTTCATGGCATCAAGGAACTTATGGTATCCATGCAATTGTGCAGCTGACTGTGAACTGGTTTTATCGTATTAGGATCCACTAATTCTCCCAGTCTTCGTTTTTTTATCGACTTCGTAGGCAGACGACCTGGTGCTTGTAAGCGGCATCTGTCGCTCATGGACATCAACAATACCAGAGACATAGCCAAGCCGCTGCCTACCGTTTCGTTTTCGACTACACTTCAGTGTGCTTAGTGCGAGTTTTTTAACGTTCTCGATAGCGTAAGAGTTAACTCATATTTGTATGGAATGGAATCGTTTGCGTACGTTTGCCGCTAGGGGCGCTGTACCAACTGCATACAAAATTGGGTTAACTTTTACGCTATCGAGAACGTTAAGAAACTCGCACTAAGTACACTGAAATATTATTTATTTGCATTATTATAATTAGATATTACAAAGCTATATAAATATCGAGGCAGTCAAACGCACAGTAAGTAATTAGTTGTAAATAAATCTAATAAAACAAAACAACAATTACATTGTCAATCTACAATAAATTATTTACAATTACAAATAATAATCAGAAATATTATTTCTGTAATAGATTAACTCTATGATTCCAAAATTTATTATAGTCGTACATAATATACTTAAAGGCTTAAAGCGTACAATGTTTGTTACAAATTCAATTTTAGCTATATACACCTATTTTTTAAATGAACATTTTCAGCTGCTAACATTTTTAGAGTAGATACTTATTTATATTCGGAAATATATATTTTTTTTGTTAGACTTACTCGTTGAAATCCGGCATAGCTCAGTTTTACATTAATGGAGACGCGATTTATTACATTTATAATTTCTTTTTCAAGCATAAGCCATTAAAACCCGCCTATAAATCAGAAATTGTTATACAGACGAAGGATAGGATGCCTCGTTGAGATTTTGAAAAATATTTTACTGTTTCAAAAGACGACAATACTTAATTACGATACATTGAACGAGAATAGAAAATTTTCCCAATTAAATTTATCATCTAAATCAACAATGTAAAATTTGAACAATTTTCACAACCATTTCATACTTCAATCTCGAACGAAATTATCAAATTTTAAATATCGAATTCTCTGAGCGGTTTTCTAATTCTTTTTTTTTTTCAAACAGAAAATATTTTAGCAAAACCTTCTTGCGTAGATCCGTATGCTTCCATTCCCTTAGTCGATACGCTGGGAATGCTAATTAGCTACGTCACTTGTGGCTTATAGTTGTGCGTATCCGCTCCTGTAGGGGGCGCGGCGGCGGGCGGCTGAAGGGTGACGTCAGAACACGTCATCACTTGGATCGTCATCTAACTCACACAGTAACTTGCTACTGCAATATAAAAGTACGGAAATTGATACAAGCGTAATCTATATCTAAAAAGAAATACATGAGAAAGACGAAGAATTTGTGAATGTATATAATAGAAATGCAGTGCTTTCGTTGTTAAACACCATTAATAATGTTTCCATTAAAAACATTTTGATAATACACATTATTATTTTTTCATTTTTCATTATGATTATTATTTTTTTAATTGTATTTTTTTGACTTGTTTTTTCCTTTATTGTAAATATTTTTATTTATTTAAAAAAAAGAAAATATTTGAGAAAAAACAAAAAAAAAAGCCCGCTGAGTTTGTTTCGCCGGTTCTTCTCAGGACTGTGGCTTTTTTTGGAACCGGTGGTAGAGTTAACATTGTTATTTATATTTTGACATTCAACAAGACGTGTGCCATACTGACATCTAAGTTGAAATAAATGATTTTGAATTTGAATTTATAATCCGGATTTACTAATTCATAAAAAAAAAACAGATTATCGAAATAATAATCAAATAACGAAACGTACTTCTAAAACACTATGCTGTTTCCATGCTGTACTTCAAATAAGACCTGAAATTCGGGTGACGAATATAAACAGAAATGAATCTGCTATCAAAAAACACACTACAAACGAATAGGTCTATAAAAAAAAAGTGCGTGCGTACAAAGTACACATGTCAGAAGTGAAACTTCTTTGGCGAACTAATTTATAAGTCTTGCTTATATTTATACAAATCTAAAACTTTAGATTTCCGAGACTTAGAGGATGGGAAAAAGGAAGATATGTTCCCGCCAAAAGTATGTCAAATGTCAATCTCAAACCTTAGTGTTGACAGTCACATTATGTTTAGATTTCTAAATTGTAAATGACTAATATTTTGCCAATTGAATTGACTAATTTAATTTCATGCTATTTGATTAATGTTCCAAATTCTTTTCATTTCATTTGGATTCCTATTAACATTTTTCACAAAAAAATTATAAAATATTAGGCTGTATGGTATGATACATTTGCCTTTCCAGTTGGAAAAATACAACAACTACTACTACTGATATTTGACAAGTACTTATGAAACTTCCGTTGCATACCTGCGTGACGTTACATCTGTAAAATTTTTACCCTCATGCGCCTAAAGAAGTTTCACTTCAAAAATAATCGATGGTGTAACTTACTCTTCCTTGCTCGCAAATGATTCGGCGTGAACTCGTCGATTGCAGGCCCGGTCGCAACATCGACAGTGCCAATATGCGAGTACACTTAAACTGAACACGAACACGGAGGTCGGCAGCACCAAGGCAATGATCAGCCCTCGCACGGTCTCCTCCCACGAATACCTCGCGACTACGAGGTCTGGTCTAGTCAAGCTGTAGTAACAAGGGAACAGCTTTGGGGCGTTCGGTCCGGCGTATTCTTTGGCAAACACCGAGCAGTTTACGGTTGGAGGGTAGCCGCATCCCTCAGGGTTGATTAGGAACTTTAAGTGCGTCTCGTCCCATTTGGCTGGGGGCGGCGCTCCCTCCACAAATGGCCTACGCGACAAGTTCACTCGTATCTTGTGACACTTTGTGTGTGCGGTTGTGCAGCCTTCTCTACACGACGCCCACGTGCAATTAGTCAGCGTCTCGGCGTGAACGTGCTCGGACACAGAGCATAGACCGGCTTCCGGCACGAACTCAGCTAATATCGTCTGCACGGCCGGCTCGACTACGAACGGTATCAGGAACAGGAAAGCGAAAACGGCCAATATGGCCGCGGTGCCGAGGCAAAGTGACGTGTAAAATTTGAATCTCTCAAAGAAGTGGGCTAATAATTGCTCTCTTGTCGGTTCCAGGGGCTTAAATTCCGGACTACCGGGCGCTGCTGAACCGCCCATCGGTAATGTGGAGCGTTCTGACGTGGCAGGAGTGAGGCTGGGACGCGACCTGCTAATCGTCGACATCTGGACTTTGTTTTAACCCGAAGAAAGCATTGCAAGCGTTTAATCGTCTCTTAGTGAACTAGCCGGGCCCTCGCAAAGGAGGGGAACGCCTGAAACAGAACAGAAATATAAACATTAACAATATTTTCTCTATAGATAAATATTAGTTGGAGTTTAGTATTGCCTTTGTAGGCAGACGAGCATATGGCCCACCTGATGATAATAATAATGAATGCCAGAAGCACAACCAAGTCAGTGCCTACCCTATGTCAACTCCGCCCTATAACTACTTATCTAGTATGTAATTAGTACGCGGAGCTTTGAAAAAAATAATATGTAGCAATCAGGGTTTATTTATAGCGATAATTCCGTACACAAGGATATAATTAATATATTTGTGAATTCCTACAGTGAATTCCTACATTAATTTTTCCATTATGTGTTAATATTCGCTCATTAGTTTATCTTTTTATTTCAACAGACACACTAACATACTATTCAATAAATAATTTGTCCTCTATGAATCATATTATTACCATTTCATTAAATTATTATACAATTAAAAAAAAAAAAAAAAAGTTAATAGCAAAACTATTTAAATAATATGCTAAATTTATTTAAGATTTCAGATACTATAATACGGTCTATTAATTATATAGTATATCGTGTATCTCACGTGACTGGTCTCAGAGGGGAGAAACAGGATCGTTCGGATGCATTTGCAGGTCGGACTGTCCACCGGTGCAACTCTTGAATCTCATTTTTGCGTCATCACCAACTTCCACTGTTCTCTGGCAAAGCATCAGCGTTATACACGATACGATAACCAGTACCGTGGGTAGTACTAAGGCCACAACGAACTGTCTATACGTAGCGTCCAAATCGAATCTGGCCACAACCGTTTCCGGATTGTTCTCCGTGTAGAAACAGGGAAAACGGGCTTTCGCATTGTGATCGGTACCGTCACGTCCATAATCCTTGAGAAACTCCTTGCACTCATCAGCCAATGTGTTAACGCAACCCTCCAGATTAATCATTAATTTGCTATCATTAGCTATAGTTAGTTCGACTTCAGATGGGGCGATGATGCGGTTAGGGACAGCCTTTAACGTATACAAATACTGCAAATGAGTGAAATTAGTCAAGTCCGCTATGTCCGTCTTTGGTAGCAGAGCCGCATTAATACAGTCCACGGCGACCACCCCTGAAGATCCATTGTGGACAGCATGACACGATAGCATCAGTACTTCCTCGCCGGAGTCCGTCCAGACAACTTCGCCGGCTTCCTCTTTTGCTAATTTCGTACACTTAGCTAAAAAGACTCGGTCACCGCTCAAGACTATAACGTTCTTGTTCCTAGTGGGAATGTCTACGCATCTTCTGTCACAGTTGTACGGTGTTCGGATCTTCCTACAAGTACCTCGGTTACAATAGAACAATCCGTGTACGTCGATGCACGTTATTTTGCCTCGTCTCCCGGAGCACTTTAGCGGCGGATCGGTTTCCCGGAAGGCGCATTCAAAAGCGTCTGTTATGTTGATGCACTTTCCCTCAGTGCAATTGAAGGTGCCGGTTAGATTCCTGCATTCGTCCCTGATGCAGTGGTATTTCTTGGCGTTCTCCTGGTCTATGCCGAAACAGGTTTTGTTGGCGGCGCTTCCGCAATCGGACAATAGCAAGGACGTACCGTTTTTGCGGACGTTGACGTAAATTTGAATGCACGCTCCGGAGGTTTTGCTCAGGCACCACTCACCGCACGAGCCCCAGTCGCAGTTGTCTTTGTTCACGGCCCTTGTCGTCGTGCACATGATGGGAGTCGGGTCTATGCCCGACGCTATGGCTTTGGTGTAGGGCATGTAGATGGCGACGGTCAGATACACGATCGCTACACAACTAAGCACGGCCGTCATCTGACATATGCAGATGGTTCCGCATATTTTCTGGTCCTGCGGTGGTATGATCAAGTCCTCGACGGGTGTCGGTTTCGGCATTGTCGGAGACTCGCGTTCGCCCGTGTCCGATTACCACTGACGTGTTGTTGGCGTCTGCGCATGCGTATTGTGGTGATCGATCCAACGCTGCACTGCGGGTAACTCTGTGTCGGTCCTCTGCGTGTGGTAAACCATGAATGTCAACAACCTAACAGTTTATAAACGAAAAAAAGAAACTATCTTTTCGTGAGATATTTAAAAGGAGTATTAAAATCGCGGATGTAATGATGATTTGACGAATATTTTTAGGTTAATTACAACTAAAAAATAAAACGCTCTAACAATTAATTACTAGACGATATAATCTTAACTTGTCCTTGACACACTGATCGCCTTAATAATAGGGCTAACCGTTTTAATTTTTATACGTACTGAATTGTAAACTAAAAATAAATTGTCTAACTTATACAGAATTGTTTTAAGAGTTATACTTGTAGGCCACCTTAAGTATTGTTATTTAAATCAAAATACAAACTATTATTCCGATAATATTTATATACGTGAACATGCTTAAAAAGCACTGAATATTTTAGTTTGAATCATACCATTAATAGAATGACACGAAGTATCTTTGTAACATTTTCGATACATTTCAAAAATCATGTTTTTGGTGTAAATATTTAAAACAAATTAAATTAATGATATGCCCAACGAAACTCTTGATGAATGACAAAAAAGTCAATCTTTCCAATATGTGTACCTATGTCTTTGAAACAGAACATAAAAAATATAGCCTTTGGTATAAAAAGATGTGGCAAAAAAAATAGAGGCATAAAAAAATTATAAACATTATAATTAGAACTACATTCAAAAAATGCAATGCACAAATAAACGTTAAATCTAGGAATTTTAGAATAAACAAATTTGCATCATACCTTTTAGATTTACACGCTACTCTTTATTTACACAGTATTGAGTCTTGTAATATTTTTCTTACAAAAATCTATCACTGTATTCTTAAATCTAATTACACTAATTTTATTGTAATTATATTATTATTTTTTTGTGATATTTCTGCGACAGTTCCGCTTACAGTTTATTATGTGTGTATTTTGGACTGTAGTGAAGTTAGATGATTTTGTACATGCGCAATGCGGTTTCTCTGTACCAGTCTGAACCAAGCAGAACTTCTCACAGTTTTATGTCTCAAAAATGTTGTGTAAAGATAAAAAGATCTTAAAAAATTCTAGTGATCTTAGAAATTTTTACTTATTTTTAAAATGTTCCAATCGGAATTAACAATTTATTTCTTCTGTAGAAGATCTTAAACTTTTTTACTTATTTTTTAAATATTTAAATCGAAATTAACAATTACTTTCTTCTGTAGAAGATCTTAGAAATTTCTAGTGGTTTTTAAAATGTTTAAATCGAAGTCAACAATTAATTTCTTATATGTATAGACGATCTTAGAAATTTCTAATTATTTTGAAAATCTAATGCTGTATGCCTTCAGAACTCAAGATAGGACTATTATATTTGCGTTTCATATTGTCCAATAGTCCGTGACCACAAAAAAGGTAGAGTATTCGAAGCGTCTAAAATAATTGAATTAAGTATAAATAAAAAACGCAATTCTAAACCGTAAATTTAGTTTTATATGTCTCTACGTGTCGCGAACACCGAAGAAAATATTCTTTTTTTTTTTGCCCTTATATGCCCACTTGATGGTGAGTGGTTACTGTCGCCCTTGGACTTCAGCAATGCCAGGGGGAGAGCCAAGCCGGTCCCAACCGAACTATTATCGGAAAAGAAGTTAAGGATACTGAAATTCGAGGTAATGATGAGGAGGTTGAAAGGTGTATTGTTATCCCGCACGGGTAGGAACCAGTATCTTCTTTTACCGCGAGACACACATGCGTTCCGGATTCTAGAGTGTGATCAGCCGTTATACTACACAATCAACACTTTAACCCTGTAGTGGCATTTGCGTTGTCATATTTATGAGGTACCACATCATACCAGATGGGCCGTGAGCTTGTTACTCGAATAATAGGATCCTAAGGATGCTGTTAGTACATACCCGTACCTTCGCATAATCAGAGCTAGCTAAGGCATTGTTTGGAGAAAATGAATGATTTTTTTTTATTGCTTAGGTGGATGGACGAGCTCACAGCAAACCTGGTGTTAAGTGGTTACTGGAGCCCATAGACATCTACAACGTAAATGCGCCACCCACCTTGAGATATAAGTTCAAAGGTCTCAAGTATAGTTATAACGGCTGCCCCGCCCTTCAAACCGAAACGTATTACTGCTTCACGGCAGAAATAGGCAGGGTGGTGGTACCTACCCGTGCGGACTCACTAGAGGTTCTACCACCAGTAATTACGCAAATTATAATTTTGCGGGTTTGATTTTTTATTACACGATGTTATTCCTTCACCGTGGAAGTCAATCGTGAACATTTGTCAAGTACGTATTTATCATTAGAAAAATTGGTACCCGCCTGCGGGATTCGAGCACCGTTGCATCGCTAGATACGAATGCAACGGACGTCTTATCCTTTAGGCCACGATGACAATTGCAGTCCATTGACATGATAATATACCCATTTAAGTGAGCCCACAATACCCTTTATCAATCCTCGCAACTTAGTCGCTCATTATCTAGCAAATTCTTTGATTCTTAGTCATTCTTAATCAACATCTTACCGGAATCTATCGGAGTGTCAATGTAGGAAGAGGTCCTGAGTGGAACTGAAGAATTCCAGTCTGGTTAAGGCAGGTATAAGGTATGCGATATGCGGACCCGTGGCGCACAATATCACCTCAAGTAAACAACCATTACCCATTTAATCATTTGTTCAACTGTACAATGTCTTCCTTGATTAGGGAAACTGTAAATTCCACTTATCAATTGTCTTAATGACGTACCTACTTTGAGTGCGTTTTACAAAGCGTATGCGGTCGAGAGGTTTTGTTTATGACTGTATTAACCGAAGACGCAGATTCGATACTAGTCGCGATCCTATTGTGGCTTTGATTTTGTTTATTTAATACGCTTTTATTAGCTTCAGACGTATGTATGTTAGTATGTAATGGAATCTTTGAACATGATTTTGACC